GAAGATGGTACATGTACTTAATAATGTTTTTATGTGGTTATTTCATGTGAAGATGGTACTTTATAATGTTATGATGTCATAGTTATTTTGTGTGAAGATGGAGTTTTTATTAAATTACCTGTTGTTATTTTACCTCCCGCTTGAAAAGTGGAAAGTATATAGTTTCCACCCATCCTTCTGTTACGTTTTGAGGTAACAATATCTTAACTCCTCTTATTCCACTGAATTACATTTGAAAACGCTTTCACAAAATCCTTGTTGCAAAGTGCCATTATGCACCTTCTATTTTACTTTTTGATTGGAAACATATTTCGAGTTTCCGTTTTAAATAAAACATGCCTTATTAGAAACTAACATTATTATTTTATAATATTGAAGGGTACCCATCCCTTATCCGTAATTCCTCCAATATCATTTATCTAATTTTTCAAGACTTAGTTTATTAGATATTGTATCGAAAATTTGAAAGTAAAACAAATACTAAGTAACCGATATACATCGACACTATTGTGGAAGTCCGGCTGTGGGTACACCGTACGGGTTAAATGTTCTGTATCTGTTAGCCTGCAATTCCCAATATAGGAGAACATTTTCTAGAATAAGCCAATTTAAATCAAAAAAATCATTTGTTGAATTCACTGTCTTTATAAAGGATCTATACCCAAATAAACGGACCTTTTTAATATAAAATTTAAATTGAAAATTGCAAAGAACTAATGATATGTAGAAGACTGTTCAAAAAATTATTTCAGATACTTGATTCTTTTCACGTCATTAGAATAACACTCAGCAACATACAGAATGTCATTACTGTCCACACTGAGGTCCCACGGATAGCAGAGATGACAACTGTCTAAGTAAAGAAGGAACTGTCCGTTCTTATCAATGATGTGTACAACATTGTTATCAAAGTCCGCGATCAGAATATGACAAGAACTGTCCGATGCTACACCGTACGGATTAAATGTTCGGTATCTGTTAGCCTGCAAGTTCCCAGTGTAGGAAAAGTGGAACTTCCCCATCTTTGTGACCACTACAACAGTCCTTGTACCCCAGTCACTCACAACGATATCCAGGTTTTTGTTTTCTTCAACGAAGGCTGGGTTTGAATACAGGGGTGTTCGACTGTCGGTATATTGGATTTCTTGCATTACTTTGCACTCTGAGTAACATGAGTATCGGACGATCTTACTCTGTGAACGATCTTCCAATCTCATAGTGACAAGCAAATCATTGGCAGAGGTGCAGCACAAGGCCTGAGGTCTCCATTCCAGTAATTTGAGCAGTCTTTCTATCTTGCCATTCTTCACGATGTTTACACTCCCGTCGTCATAGTCACTGTAAACAAGGTGTCCATCTTTGTTGACGGTCAGATCAAAAGGTTCATTCTCGCACAGGGTGGAAATTTTGTCCACTTCCTCTCTTTTACGAAAATGTTTTATCACTTTGTTGTCACCGCAAACATAAAACTCGTCTGTTTGAGGTGAGGAAGACACTCTTGCAGTTCGCACGAAACCCGTCTTCACACGATCAAGAACACAGTGAGTTGAGCCCATCGTTTTGGGATTTTTATCAGCTACTTTTCTTAAAGTTGGCAATCTCTGTCTCTGAATGGGCCTCGTTATGGTTTGACCCAGTTTTCCAATCTTCTCCGAAAGATCGTTCTCGTTCGGTGTAGATGGATTGAAATCAGAGACCACCATCTCAAATCTTTCGGGTACATCTCGAAAATACTGATTTTTGGATGTGTAACGAAGGAGCTGATTTATAAGTCTAGGAAAATTTGTATCATTCATGATTTTGTTATTCTCTTCTATTGTCAGTCGAACTCGGTTTCTCATTTTAAGGAATTTCTTCTCCAGCGATTGAAGACTGCTTATGTCGTCTGCTTCCATTTTCTCTTCTTCTTTCAAAAGTCTTTCTGTAATATCTTCAACCATCTTTCTCAGATCTTTCCTTAGGTCTAATATTGTCTTCTTCCTGTCTTGGTGTTTGTTTGCAACAACTTTATGCGTCACTTCAATGTCCGACATGACTGTGTCATAAAATGGCGAAATGAAATTTTCAAGTTCTTGAGTATCTTTTGTGATGAGTTCCCGCAAGGAATCGTACATGATCGACACGTTTTGAACGTCGTGGCCATCATGCTTACCGGAAGTAGCACATTCAAAGCAAACTGGCACTTCACAATGAAAGCAATACTGGTCATACGAATAATTTGGGTGATGTTGACAGGCAGGTGGCGCGTTTATGATTTTTCGGGACTGAGGCTGGACCAAAGCATCATTTTTGATAGAGGGTTCAGAGGCCCTGCGACGATGCGTTAACACATACAAGGAATTGGATTCATGAGAACCTTTTCTTCCCAGACCGAGGCGTCCACTGATGCCTTTGGTTCGTGGTCGAGGAACCGGAGTTTCCTTGCTGGACTTTTCCATAACGTTATCATAATAAACCTAAAATGGAAGAATTTTTGGTGTGGTTTCTTTATGTTTTCATACCCTAATCAAAAAGGTGCTCCGAAAATATTGCGTATTATAAAACAATTAATAACATGTATAAGTACAATGAATATTACAGTGGCAGGGGAATGTCATCTTTATACTTGTACGGCTTAAGTTATAACACACATTCATGTAAAAACCTATCTCAAGAAGAAAAAAAAAACATCAGACCTTTTCTCTAAATTGTTTTTTTTTAAACAGATACAGAAATCAAATACTTATAACTATTAGATTAATTTATATTGATAAGTATTTTAAATCTTTTCAAATCAAAGAAAGATTCAATTATGGTGAAAGCACATACATTTCTTACCTTTCATTTGGAAAAAGATTAGGTAAATATTTTCAGGTGAAAAAAAATCAAACTGTTTAATTTCTTAAGGTGCTTAATTCTTCCTTCTTCCGCGTCTTATGTGCTGCACATTGAAGTGATTATCAATAAAATTCAGTTAAAAAAAATTTCAAATATAAAACCAGTGATATTTATTTTCCGCGAGGAAATGTTTCTCTTAATTTTTTACATAATCTGTGAACAGACCTCTTAATTGGTGTTTCAATGTATTTTTTTTTCCATAACTTTTTGTACACAAGTAAAAATTTATCTAAGCTAAGGTAACTTTTTACCCTTTTCATCTACAGACGAAATGCGTAAGGAAAGAAAACGCGATATGGAATTAAAACAAACAGGATGGCAGAAAAAAAAACTGTTTTAGAACTTGGGGTCCGTTTCCAAAGAACTTTTAAATACTATATAAGACTAAAAACTTAATTTAATTGTAAAATCTTACAAAGCTGAAGTTTTTGTTACAAACGTATGAAAAATATCTTTTGAAATTCTTTTCAAAAGAATCAAAATTATTTTCACAGCGAAGTAAATTTGAATGTCAGTTGCATAATAACATATATCATAAGTTTCTTTTGTTTAGACGGGCCTTGTTGTATTCTTTTCTCTTGATCTGCCTCTCTCCTGAAATAAACTGATGCGTGTATGCGTCACATTACCAAACCGGACACGAATGTTATATAATGGATTTATAGCGTACACATGGTTCACAATTAATTTCGTAACTTACACTGTACCTATACATGCTATATATAGATCTTCTGAGAATAAATTTACTAAAAATTTCAGGATTTAATTCCCATTAAGTCACTCTTGCTGGTGTAATAATAATTCAATATATTAATTAATATATTTCAATATTTTAAATTTTAATATCATGTACATGTGGCACAGACACAGGTGAGCCAAAAGACCTCACAGTTTATCATTTGAAGCCTATTCTGAAAAATAGATTTATCTTTGCAAAGCCCAACCATTGCTATGGTATTGAGGAAATATCTCTATTAAGTACGGATCTTGAGTGTTTCTTTTATCTTACTGTACAAAGAAACAAGAAATATTTTGTCCTCTTGTACATTCACAAGTAAAAAAGGACTGATAATATATTCCGAGTGACATATTATTAAGGTATCCGACCCATATCAGGACATCATTTTCTAACCTTAAATATCCACCCTGTACAGTGGAGCCTCTTCATCTGGACTCTTCATTTATTTGTCCGAATGTGTGAAGCGTCCGAATATCTGAACCAGTTAAACAAGACAAAATTACGTTTAAAAATTCTGTTCCGATGAAAAGTTCTCCGGATATTGAAGCATCCAGATATCTGAATGTCCACTGTTTATCATTTCATATAGTTTATACACTGATATTAATTCAAAACTGTTTCAAGCAGTAAAGGATTTATTAGGAGATATTTTCAAAAATGTAATTACCCCAGCAGTTATTAATTAATGAAGAATGCATTGAGGTCTATGGGATCAAGTAATATTTGTAAATAAATTTGAAATACTAAGAATAGAAAGATGTATATAATTATTAAGAAAAGAAAGATAATTTTTCACCAGATAATTTTTTTTTAGAAATGATAAAAAACAAAGGGGAGTAACTCTTCAAGGACAGGTCAAGGAAACAAAATTAAGGCTTATGAATTATATCTGTTTAAATTCCTAAATTCCAACTTTGTAAGTGATGCTTCGTGCAAAATTATCAGAAAAATAATTCCTTGCATATAATTAGGAATATCCAGTACCTAACATTTCTTGTTTGAGAAAACTTGTAAATGTGAGCTGGCAAATAAAAAAAAACCCATAAAGCTTCTTTCTCAGGTGGTTCTTCAATAATTTATTTAAATGTATTAAATAAAACAGTAAAATTCAATTTACAAAATCTACAAAATACATGTTCATGTATCTCATTTATATGCACCAAAACAAATACAAAACAAATACAAGTACCAAAGTGTACAAAAATGGTGATTTATGAATACACTTTCTCATTATTTTTTTCAGAAACAGGTTCAAACCTAGAGACAATAAAAATATGAAGAAAATTGTATAATTTTTCTTGACTTCACAAAAATGTCCCTAGTAATAAAAAAATGATAATAAATAACAAAGCACTGTTGTCTCTTATTAATGAAGTTTTTTCCCCTATCACTTGATAGGAACACATTTTAGACTGTGAGCTGTAACATTTCCTAGTTTTGTTTTCATTATGTGGCCCTGCCATTCAGCTTTACTGTCCCCGTCCACTCTTAAATCCACCTATAAATAAACAAAAATTCTCACTCACACAAACATGTTTTTTCAAGTGCAAGAAAAATTTAATATGTTGTATGCTCTTTCAGTCTTGTATTTGTAGTACTGTGGAATAATCATTGTTTGTGGGGGATCAGAATATGTGATTTTATGGGAAATCCTCTTACACAAGTTCACATCCACGAATATTAAAACACATGCATTGAGCACGGTAGAACAATCTTCCTCGACAACCATACAATTTACCCCAGAAATAACATCCCAACTATTATATAAACCTGTAAGTTTTAGTTATCCACGGAAATAAACATCCTCCCCCCCCCTGAACAATAATCACTTTACGGTACTAGTCTAAGAAAAATTCGAAACTTACAAATTGTGAATAAAAGCTGTTGAAACCACAATTTCGTTTACAATGTGACATGCCAAAATTAAGTGTTTGATAACTCCACTCATACAATATACCTGTAATTTTTCCCAGACTTTCTTCTTGGGTTTTAATTCTTCTTCTGGTGTTCCATCTTCGAATCCTTCAAACACCACCCTGTCCCCCGGAGCGCTTCCCTGGGGTGGATCCAATGGTTCTACTGCCCGTGGCTCATCTCTACAACAGAGAGAAAGGGAAAACTTGAGATTTCATATAAAAACTTCATGGCCTGGCTTTAATATGATAACTTACACTAAGGCACATGTAAGCATTTATTTGTCATAAATTTCTTAGACTAATGTTTCCCTTGCTTTTTTTAAAGGAATTTTATATTTTACATGCCAGGGTAATGCCAGAACTGGCACCGTTACAAAAAACCGGAAATTTCGCTGTCTACAACCAGAGCTGATTTTCGATACTTGCAAACTGAATTAAATACCAAACATACAATTTATCAATAGCACAATACTTATTGTACTCAATATCAATGAAAAGAAAATATCACTCCATATTTTGATGCAAATGTTATCACTGGACAGTATATTTTATAAACAAGCCAAAAAAATGATGTTGGTGAGTACTAATGGATTTCTACTGTTGATAAGTTGTGAATTCAGCATTTAATTCTGTAATCTAGTATCGAAAATCAACCCAAGAATGCCGCTTCTAGGTGCAGGTTGCAAATTTCCAATTTTAGTAATGGCGTCAGTTCTGATGTTTTCTGGGCACGAAAAATATCAAATTCATGAAAAACGTCAGATATTTTAGACATACATTTATGTGATGATAACTTACACTGAGGCACACATGAGCATGGCCTGGGATTCCACGCCCCTCATTTTGACGGCCTTGAGGTTACACAGGAACACCCCCAGCCTCTGGTGAAGGTCCTCCATGGGGTAGAGCCCGGCCAGACCACTGACCACTGTCCGCGGCTTCTCCTCTCCCACGTCCACCGTCTCTACATAAAGGGACTCAGCGTCAGGATGCTACACACAGAGGGAAAATCATCTACATGACTGTTATTTAAAAAAATTCTTTTTTTTTTAGAATTTGTGTGTGTTTAGAATACTTTTTACATTTTTTCTAGTAACTATGGGTCTGAATGCTACCCTGCTACACACAGCAAACAAAATCAAAAATATAAAAAAGTACGTAAGGGTTGCCCGCAACCCTGTGTCTCGCCTGCTGTCGCTGTGGTTAGTAAGAAATGATTGTCTGATAAACTGAAGCATTTATTGACATTTCAGAAGGAATAACTCAAAAATACAATAATAAAGAAATGGAACAGCTGACTTAATATCTAATCCCTTGGCGATTATATTGGCATTTATATATATATACATATACCCTGTAAATTCACAAATTATTGTGATGTTTTTATTATTGCGAATATTGCAACGTGTTATGAGTCGCAATAATTTGAACTTGCATTTTGAAATCAAATCCACTGTATATGTATCAAGTCATTCATGCAGAAAATGTAGGTGAAGATTACCTAATTATGGTACTGATATTGTTGGTTACCCATGATGTGTAGACTGACAAATTATCATGCCACTATAAGTTATAGTTGCTGAGATATGGACCTCCACCATAAATTTATGCAAAGTCACTCATGCGGAAAAATGTAGGTCAAGATGACCTAATTCTGGTACAGGCGTTTGTGGTTACCCATGATGTATCCACTGACAAATTATCATGCCACTATAAGTTATAGTTGCTGAGATATGGACCTCCACCATAAATTTATGCAAAGTCACTCATGCGGAAAAATGTAGGTCAAGATGACCTAATTCTGGTACAGGCGTTTGTGGTTACCCATGATGTATCCACTGACTAACTATCATGCCACTATAAGTTATAGTTGCTGAAATATGAACCTCCATTATCAATTTAACCAAAGTCATTCATGCAGAAAAATGTAGGTCAAAATGACCTAATTCTGGTACTGATGTTGTTGGTTACTTATAACCTGTACAATGACAAATCATCATGCCATTATAAGTTATAGATGCTGAGATATGGACCTCCACCAAAAATTTAACCAAAGTCACTCATGCAGAAAAATGTAGGTCAAGATGACCTAATTCTGGTACTGACGTTTGTGGTTACCCATGATGTATCCACTGACTAATTATCATATCCCTATAACTTATAGTTGCTGGAATATAGGTCTTCACCATAAATTATCATGAAAAAACTAAGTCCAACTTAAGGAAAAAATACGGAAAAATTTGAATTTTTTTTTTCAAAATCATACTTGG